CAAATACAGATGGAGCAACAGCAACTTACTATTTTCATTCTGTACAAAAAAGAAAACAGCACTTTATGGGATTCTAGTTTTTACCCAAGTTCTAGCAGTAAAATAATACTGTAATGCATAGAGTCTAGCAGAGCAGACAATGAAAATCTATTGACAAAATGGATGAATTATGCTTTTTAAAATGAAACTGAGCTCTTTGAGAAATGGTTCTGTATGAATTGTTACAGTAAGCTGTATATACTTTTAAAAATGGCAGACACTACCAAATCCAAAGGATTCAAAAAACAAAACCACATTCCAAGTATTTCCTGAAAATAGGCACAAAACAGTATTTTAAAATGGGCATAGGCAACATTATGTTAAGTCTTTACTTCTTTCTTCCTTAAGAAATTCAGATTTATATCTATACAAACGTATGGTTTCATAGCAGCTAGAATCCTGCCATCTGGCTTAGAGTTGTGAAAATACAATCACTTCCACCATAGGCATTAAGTTAGGTCAGAATGTTGTTCAACTTTGCAGGGCTTATCTGTTTTGTATGTACATCATACTATTTCCTCTTGAGTATACTGGTTTCTACAGAACTTCAAAATAAGGTGAAGTTACTGTATTTGTAGTTATGTGAGCTGGAGCAGAAACTTCCTGTTGGCTTTTTTCATTGAGTTATTTAGTAATTCAAATAAGTAACTTTAGTTTTGGATCTCTTCTTGTTGTTGTTGTTGTTATGTGCCGTCGAGTCGGCCCCGACTCATAGCGACCCCTCCTAGGGTTTCCGAGGCAGTATCACTACGGAAGTAGGATTGCCCAACCTTCCTTCCGAGGAGTGGCTGGTAGTATTAGGTATATAATAGCTAAAGGAGCTCTGGTGGCACAGTACCTAAGGCATTTGACTGCTAACTAGAAGACTGACAGTTCAAACCCACCAGCCGCTCTGCAGAAGGAAGACAGGTAATCTATTTCCATGAAGATATGCCACCTGGGAAACCCAAGGGGGTCACTATGAGTCAGAAATCAACTCGATGGCACTGGATATAGTAGCTAGTTTTATACCCTTAATGACACCTTTATAAGCTAGCCTAAAAGACGTGGATTACTGATAGCTAGTATTACATTCTAAAAGGCTGAGTTATACTTAACATTTATATGGTATCACCTGTCTTCTTTCCAGGAAAAGCAAGGTTCTTTAAGCTAGAGTTTTCACCAGAGAGTGATACTACTTTAATACATTAATATTAAAAAAAAGGAACAAGAAGTGGCAGCATTAAATCTAGAAGATGAAAAAATATCCTGTCAGTGTATATTATAGGAACTGTCATTTAAAAATTAATAATAAGAGATTCTGGATCCAGGTGAGATGGGATAAGCATATTTTATCCTTTCCCTCCCACTGTACGTATCTATAAAACCTGGACAATGCATGAAACAACTATTTGAGGACTCTGAAGAGTAAACAGCAGCAAGTGAATTATAGAAGAACAACAGAATTCAAAGTATCTGTGAACTGGCATCCTCCAGTATCCTCTGACCTGAACTTAATGCAGCTGGAATCCTGGAAGTGAGCTCTGTGCAGACAAAGAGGTCTACGAGACAGCCTAATGGAACAGTCTAAGGGGTGGGAAAGGGAATGCCTAACATTCACAGGGAGTATGGAAATCCCCCATCGTTTCTTTCTCTCTTCTCCATTCTCTTGTGCCCCAGCCCCCAGGCAAGCTTGAGGGACAAGCAACTATGGAAACCCAAGAGCCAAAACTCTCAGAGAGGGGTATTTTTCTGTTTGGTGGAGTTATGATTCCAAGAAGGTAAAGCAAACTCTCATTGTTTTTTTCTTTTTTTTTTTTTTTTCTGTCTTCCCTTCACATGAGTCAGGATGCAGGCCCAATCATGGAAGCAAGAGACGGACAGCAACAGAGTACAGTACCTAAAACCCCCCAAATTTCTAGTCATAAAACTGAGAAGGAGAGAGCCCCAGGAACCTGGAAGTAGTGGGGAGATTATGGAGATGGAGAAGCTCAGGAAATCAACATCCAAAATTGTTTATGAAGTACAAGGATTATCCTCAAGTCATTCATGTTTGGATCTTAATCCTACTTAACATACCAAAAAACCTTGAGAATTAAACTATCCTGGGTGGCACAAACTCAAGAGAGATCCTAAGAGAATTACAAAGGCTTTGAAAACTGAACTGACATTAAAAACTAAAAAAAACAAACTGCTGTGGAGTCGACTCTGACTCAGTGATCCCTCCTTGGGTTTGGGGGGCAGTATCTCTACGGAAGCAGATTGATCTTCCTTCGGAGGAGTGGCTGGTGGGTTGGAACCACTAGCCTTCTGGTTAGCAGTCAAGTGCCTTAGGCACTATGCCATCAGAGCTCCTGAACTGACAATGGAACACAGCAAACAAAAAGAAGATTAAAAGTTGCATCCTGAACCTAACAGGCTGACGGCCTGTTAATATAAAAAGATAGACAATCTCCATAAATTTAAACAAGACTCAGAATCTCATGAACATACTATTAAAAATGTCTAAGCTACAATACAAAATCAACAAAGTACCACAAAAATTTAAACTTGCAGAAGACAAAACAATCAACAGTTGCCAAAGCCTATTGTTGATGCCTTCCAGCCTATTCCAACGCATAGTGACCCCAACCCTAAAGGACACAGGTAGAACTACCGCATAGGTTTTCCTAGGCTATAATCTAGGAATGTAAATCATGGGAGCAGACTGCCATGACTTTTTGCCCACAAAGTGGCTGGTGGGCTGGAACCACTAACCTTTTGATTAGCAGCTGAGCAGTGCTCAATTCCATTCCCTAGTATGTCAAGCCAGTGAGACAACTTTCTCTTAACTTCCAGCTGCCCTACAAGGCAGACTGGAAAATGCCCTGAGGGGAGAAGCCATGTAAGCATGGCCTGCTTTGGTCACTCCCTTTGTTGTTATTTGCCATCAAGTTGGCCAGACTCTGAGGCAGTTATCACTATGGAAGTAGGATTGCCCAACCTTCCTTCCGAGGAGTGGCTGGTGGGTTTGAACCACCAGCCTCCTGGTTAGCAGTCAAGTGCCTTAAGCACTATGCTACCAGAGCTCCTAGTGCCTTTAAAAAGCTGTTTGTTTTGTCCAGAGTTTATAATTGGGAAAATTTGTCTATTATAAGTGATTCTACCATTATTTGAACCAAAATTTTATTTTATATTTAAATGTTTGGTTTAGCATTTCAGAAAACAGTAATACAGAATCACTACTTAACTCTCTTTGGGTCTGTCTCCTTTTGTGCCCAACAGACTGAAAATGGAATGTTTCAAATATATTAAAGTATCTTCAATCTTAAAAATAAATTAATAAATAATCTCTAGCTACTTGATGCTCCAAGGAAGTCTTTGCCCAACTTCCAAAGAATTTACTGAATAAAGAGGTCAGATCATGGAAATATTCAGAGTCAGGCTAACTAAGCTAACCTATAAAGCAAATCCATTGCTGTCAATTTGACTCAGACTCACAACAGCCCTACAAGACAGAACTGTGTCATAGGGTTTCCAATGCTGTAATCTTTACAGAAGCAAACTGCCACATCTTTCTCCCACAGAGCAGCTGGTGGGTTTCAATGTCTGCCCTTTCAGTTAGTATCCAAGCACTTAACTACCACACTTACCAGGACTCCCTGAACCAGCCTGTGTTGTTGTTAGGTGCCACTGAGTTGGCTCCGACTCATGGTGACCCTGTATACAACAGAATGAGATACTGCCCCGTCCTGCACCAGCCTGCTATGCCAGAGCCCACTGCTGCAGCCAGTGTGTCAATCCATCCTGTGGAAGGTCTTCCCCTTTTTGCTGACTCTCTACTTTACCAAGCATGATATCCTTCTCCAGGGAATAGTCCCTTCGGACAACATGACCAAAGTAGGTGAGACGAAGTCTGGCCCTTCTCACTTCCAAGGAGCATTCTGGCTGCACATCTTCAGGACAGATTTGTTAGTTCTTCTGGCAGTCCATGGTATTTTCAGTATTCTTCACTAACATCACAACTCAAAAGCATCAACTCCTATAGCAAAGCTATTTCTGTTCTGAACTAACAAAAAGTATAAAGCTCTATGGTTATAGAATGTAATAAATGGTATATTATTTAAAACTAGTAAGAAGGTGACTAGTTGTATGTAGTAATGGTACAGTAACTTAGTTAAGTGATAATGATGAGTCTTGAAAAATCCACTGTTGTCTTCAAATTAAAATTTTTAATAAAAATTTTATTGTGTAGTCAGCAAGTTTTCACTTGTCAAGTTGGAAGCAGGAGATGCTATTTAAATCCAAACAACAACTGTACACGGCTGGTTGAACATTTATAATTCAACAGTTACATAACCTCCTAAGTACCGCAGAATCTGAGCCACATAATTTGGATGTCAGCTAAACAAGACAAACCAATTCAGTAGGGTGTCATGTACTTAGCTGAGCTTTAAGAAAGTAGGACTGCTGGGTGGAGAGGTACTCTCCCCACCTTAGTTTCTATGAGCTAAGATCAACTGCTGTCAGGATAACTAACTCCTCTTATAGTCAGGACAGCTGATTTTTTTTAAGAAAAAAGAAAATTATAAAAACAATAAACTGTTACTTAATCTTTTATTTGCTTTTCTTGTCACTCTTTTTTACCCTTTAAAAGTGGGACTTTGGTTAAATCAAAGTGATTCACATTCTAGTTACCTCTCCAAATTATAGTCTATGACTATAGTCCAAACAAACCACCTGGTATAAACTGGTTTCACAAGTAAAAACTGCTTTTAAAATGACTCTGTCTATGGATATCTCTCTACAAGTTTTCCAGCTTGGTCTGCTCCATGTGTGTATGACCTGAAAGACTGCCAAAATAGCAGCAACAGCTGATGATATCACAGGGAAGAAACTCACTGCTACAGGAAACCAAGCATTGTTGAGTCAACTTCTTTCTTCCTGGTTACATGTTTTATACTTATTAGGCAAACCAAAAGTCCTGTTCAATTTGTTATACACATATGTATACAAGTACATATGAAAGAAATTAACAATAGACAAGAGAAAATGTTGAGTTTCAGAGGCCATCAATGCTTTGAGATTCCGAGCTATCTTCTGGCATGGGAAACAGACTTAGCATCTCAATCTCCAGAGGATGCATGCTGCCTCCTGTGATAATCAAGGAATGCAATGGTCCTCCCAAGTCCACAGTACACATCTGCTGTAAAGTGCCTGCTGCAATTTTCTGGTCCTCAGCTCCAACTCTGGCTAGGCCAACACAGAGCGTCTCCTCAGTGATTGCTGTTTAATTAAAAAAAAATATTTATATATACTGACATATGATTTGGCATATGAGTCATTTGTCATTCAAACTAACATTAGTACCCAAAGTACAGTTATAGATGCCCACAATATCTTAAGTTTCCCTAGTCACTGATTATGAACCAATTATCCATTTATCCATTGAAAGCCTTTCCAAATCTTTTGCACTACCTGACATATAAAACAGTAGTTCTCAACTTCACCCTTTCAGAATTCCAAAGGCTTACCCTGGTTTAAGTTTTTAGAATTTGATAAAACAACTAGGTTTATCTATATCCTTTATAATTGTACAACGAGTGAACAAAGTATATTACATGCTTATATCTTTAATACAATGTTTAAGATAGGTTCATAATGACCAAGAAATATTGGAAAAACCACAGGATTACCAGTAAATATATAGATTTCACTTTCTGATTGGTCATTAGCTAGATACGTGAGTACTTAGTAAACAATAAAAACCCTTAATAAGTAATGGGCATTGTGACGTTATTTACGCTTTTAAGTTCAAAATGTCCAACTTTAGTGAACATTACTCACTCTGGTGCTATAGCTGAAGGGCTGACCTTTACTGGTTTCGTTATTTAGGTGTATAAACTGCCTGACTGAACAATAACCAAATGGGGCAAATCATTTATTCAAGTATAAGCAGTCTTGTAAGGAACTGTGTATCACTGACGGATAGAGAACATCCTTGCAGACTATTTGTATCACAACTGTCACTGGGCCTACTCATGAGGATAAAATAAACAATGGTTACTCAAGAATCTTTTCTTTCAGGGGACGCAGTCAGCACCTCGGATAACAGAGTATAATAACAGGTTCATTTAAGAATCTCTCAATGAAGATTTACTGACATTATATTATATATACCCAGTGTGTCTCGATATTAGAAATAATATAAAGACAAATTCTCTTGCCTTTTTCCTGAAGAAAATTATTCCTAGTTTCACTGCTGAGAATCAGCAAAAGCAGAATAAACACATTTTTGCAGAAAAAAAATATCACCATACATTAGGGTCAAAATAGAAATTCTGTATTTTATCAAATATTTCTACTTTAACATATTTACATCAATCTGATTTACAGTTAATTTATGAAAACTCCTCACTTTCTATACTATTAATTTTACTAGAAAAAACAGCATTACTTTTCTTTCGGTAGAGCTCACAGGGTTTAAACTAAAGTTGGAAAAAAAATGACAAGAAAAAAATGCAATACAAAAACACTGACTCTGAGTAAAGGGCCAGGCAATATACAAAAAGGGGTGGTCAGCACAAAATGATCAAGGCAAAGGAAGCCACTGGGAGCAGAAGAGATACAGGCAACCAAGGCAGACAGTGTTACATACACCAGCCTGCAATACCAATAATCTACAAGCAGGTACATAAATACAAGCTGAACAGGGGTGGGAAGATGAATGGGATTACACCTATGAATATATATAGTTTTGACAGAGGATATTTCTACATATGTGCTGCAAATACATCCACGAATACAGCAGAGCACAAAGGAGGCAGTTATGAAATCCTCTTAGCCATACCAACCACCTTGAGGGAGTGAGTCCATGGGCCTCACCATAGTCTGGGGGGAGGGACATCAAAGCCAACTGGCCTAACATAGCCCACAAAGACAATAATGTTGTACATCTTATTTAGTGAATAGTGACTGGGGTCCTAAAAACTTCTGAGCAGATATCTAAGATTCAACTATTGGTCTCTCCCCATCTGGAGCAAAGAAGAATGAAGAAAATCAAAGACGTAGGGAAACAATTAGTCCAAAGGACTAATGGATCACACACACCCCAGCCTCCATGGCCTGAAACCAGAACTAAATAGTGCCTGGCTACCACTTCTGACCACTCTCAAAGGGATCACAGTAGGAGGTTCTGGATAAAGTGGTAGAAAAATGTGGAACAAAACTCAAAATCATAAAAAAGACCAGGCTTACTGGTCTGACAGAGACTAGTGGAACCCCAAGACTATGACTCTTAAGACACCCTTCAAACCTGGAACTTAACTAATCCCCATGGCTCAACTTTCAGCCAAATAACAGATAGGCCTATTAGGTGAATAATAACACTAGGGAGGTGTACAGACTCCTTAGAGCAATTAACCACATGAGAGCAAAAGGGCATCATGTGCCCAGGGATAAAGCTCAGAAGGCAGGAAGGGACAGGCAAGAAGGACAAACGGAAATGGTAAACACAGGGAGGAAGTGGGAAGAGGGCTGTTACACTGTGGTCACTGCAATCAATGTGACAAAACAAACTGTGTATGAATTACTGAATGGAAAAAACAATTTGCTCTGTAAACTTTCACCCAAATCCCAATAAAAAGTAAAACAGAAAAACACTGACTCTTCAGTGATGGTGCTAGAGGTGTGTCTACAGGTGTATCAGAAGTTACATCATCATCAGATGCTACATTACATATACATCTACAGAGTAAAGGAGTAATATTTGAGCCAAAATAGGGTCTTAAGTACCTGGTTCTTCTCCTCGTATTCTTTGATTTTGTACAATCTCCAGAAGTTGCTGGGCTGCTTGGTTCACACTCATATACTGAGGAGGTTCATAGATCTTCCTTCCTCTTTAAGTATAAAACTAGATGTCATTATTCTTAGCCATGACATTACATAATATATTATTAACCCAGTTACTCCCCCAAGTATACTCAAGTACCACAGTCTACATTCTGTTTGAAGGTTTCATGTGATATTCTTTTTTAAGTATACATTATTCCACAGGAAGGATTTTATCTTAATGGTTTCTTAAGCATTTTCCATTGTTCTACTTCAACTACTCTCTCATTTCACTGAAACATTGACAGGAAGAAAAATCCAACAACTTAAAGATAGATGTCTAATAAATCAGTCACTTTTATTCAAAGTGATGCTTAGGCAAAAATAATTTAATGTAAGTGGCATCTTGGTCTATAAGCGATCTTAACCAGGTTCTATAGCTCCCTATAATTGTATTACTATGTTTAAATCACATGTTCCTCTTTTCACTTCTTCCTCTAAGAAAAGTAAACAAAAGGCGTAAAGATGTGAACATTTTAGATAGTGAGATGTTTACTTCTGTAATCTTTAACTCTACCAGATGTTCCCAATGATCATAATAAAAGTTTAGCTTTTGTAGCTTATGAAACAGTCCATACACATTATTTTACTGACTGAAAATAATCATCAGGACCATGCAATAAAACGTGAGCCACAAATGACTTTAAATGTTCTAGAAGCCACAGAAACAAAAGCAAAAAAAGTGAAATTAATTTTAATATTTTATTTAAACCCAATATATTAAAAATATATTTCAACATTTAGTCACATAAAAATTATTGAGATATTTTAAATATATTTTCTATGAAGTCTTTGAAATCTGATGTGTACATTATACTTATAGCACATCTTAATTTGGAAGCTAAATTTTCACTGAAAATATTTTATCTGTATTTAGATTTCATAAAACGTAGAGTTATAAAAGTAGATTCACATTATCAAAGTTGTTTCAAATCTACTTAAACATTTTCCATCCAATAACTAAATTGTCAACTTTAAATTAATTAAAATTAAAAATTCATTTCCTCATTAGCCACATTTCAAGTACTTATAATCATGTGTTGTTGTTATGTGCCATGGAGTTGGATCCAACCCATAGCGACCCCTTCCTTGGGTTTCCGAGGCAGTATCACTAGGAAAGTAGATTCCAAGGAGTGGCTGGTGCGTTTGAACTGCCAGCCTTCTGGTTAGCAGTCAAATGCCTTAGGCACTATGCCACCAGAGCTCCCTAAATAAGGAGGGCTATTATATCAGGAGCTCTGATAGCATAGTGCCTAAGCCACTTGACTGCTAACCAGAAGGCTGGAGGTTCAAACCCACCAGCTACTCCTCGGAAGGAAGATGGAGCAATCTACTTCCGTAGTGATACTGCCTTGGAAACCCAAGGAGGGGTCACTATGAGTCGGGTCCGACTCGACGGCACATAACAACAACACAACATTGTATTGGACAATGCTGTTCTAAGCAAAAATGCATTACTACTCTCAATATATGTATGAGGAGAATAAGGTACAGAGATTGAAGTGAGTTGCTCAAGAGCAAGCACACAACTGGCGGCAGATTTGGGGCTTTAGCCCATGTCTTCTGACTTCAATTCATTCATTCAATCCACAGATACTTACTAAGTGCCCATTAGATGCAACAACTGCTATTTTTACTCTGACAACACTACTTCTCATTTCATAAGAATTAAAGTATTTAATTTTTAATTGTTAATGAAACTTGATTTTCAACAATCTTTAGAACTCATGTCATTTAACTAGAATTTAATAGAATTCTTTAAGGAATTAAGATAGATGTAAGCATTCTCATAATAACTTACTTGATTAGATTTTCCAAAGACTGCTCCTTTACTTTGATGTCTGCAGGAAGTAAAAAATATTTTCTTTAGATTTAACTAAGTACTTTATCCAAAACATGATATGTAAACTTCAGTCAGCAGTCATCTACGTTTTTGGGAAACATTCATCCCAAGCCTCTAAAATACTCATCTGAGAGTTTGTGGCAGTCTTCTCTAACACTTCTATCTAGGCATTTTCTTACGGAAATGAAAGACTGAAAGCTTCTAGTTGTATAAAGGCCATTAGTTAGAAACAAACATCAACAAAGCCCTGAGACTATCCTGCAGAGATTTAATCTCTTAGAAAAGAAAGGAGAATGAATGAGATAAGTAACGGCATTTATATTACCTATCAGCTAATCAATTTTTTTTTCCCATTTCTACTAGCTGGTAAGTGCAAAGAACAAACGGAAAAGTCTTATGTCTCTATTCTTACCTATTTTTAATAGAAAGTAACTCTTACTGCATTCTGAAAAGAGACTTTTAAGATTGGTCAGATATGCCATAATTATGAACAATTTACTAGCAAATATTCTCACTTTTGACAGATATTTACTGAGCACCAACTGCATGTCAGACACTATGTAAGGTACTGGGCATACACAGGAACAAGAAGGAACACGGACCTTAGTCTCACAAAACTCAACAGTCCAGGCATCGCAAATATTTGATCCTTTATACTTTTTAATCACTGATCATCAACTGAACTAGTTGGTAAAAGGTGAAAAAGCAGAATCACTCTACACTCTCAAAGGAATTTAATACACAACAGCAAGAGCAACAGCTGCTTCCTGTTATATAATGAAAACAAACAGTTCAGCCAAAGTTTGTTTTTACAGTGCAACTGAGGGAGTCTTTGATAGACTTCTGCAGCTTTTCTAAGTAACTATAAAAGTTCTTCTTATAAAGGATACTAAAGAATTAGCTTGGAAAGAGTAGCAGAAATTAATCTCATATATCTATTTCTAAATGTGATGCAAAGGTGGAACCAGTGATGAAAAATATTTTTCAGGTTCAAATGTCATTCATTAATTTATTAATTTATTCACCTTGAGACTCTGACATGTTATCTGTGGTAGTAAGGTTTTTAACTGAACATTGCCATATATATATTTTTTAAATTTAATGTAATGATATGCTCTATAAAATCTGGTATTAAAAATGAAGAGGGGAGAATTTTCACACGTAAATGATCTTTAATTGAACCTAGGAGCTTTAGTAGGTAGCACAGTGCCTAAAGCACTTGACTGCTAACCAGAAGGCTGGAGGTTCAAACCCACCAACCACTCCTCGGAAGGAAGATGGGGCAATCTACTTCCGTAGTGATACTGCCTTGGAAACCCAAGGAGGGGTCGCTATGAGTCGGGTCTGACTCGATGGCACATAACAACAACAGGGTTGCATTAGTGAGTTTGTCTCAAGTCTTCAGCCAGACCAGTCATAATACTTTTCCCTTTTCTTCACACAGGCCATAATTATTCCTCTCTAACTACACCCACCTGCGGGAATGTGAGCTTTCAGAAAGGAGGAACTGCACCCTGTTCCTTATTAGTATGCCAGGACTCAGCATACCGCAAGGTACCCAGTTAGATCCTCTGTAAATGTCTACTGAAAAAATTTGTTCATCTCCTACCACCTCCCTATCTTAATCTATCTAGTCCTTAAACAATTTAATTCCCAGCTCCTTCATGAGGCCTTTGCTGATTTCCCCGCAAATGTTCTTGGTTCTTAGAAATATCTATGCCATTAATGCTACTGTTTATTAATCTCTAACTATGTCATATTAGTCTTGTCTCTCCAAGTAAGTTTTAAATTGTCTGTGACTTCCTACCATTATTCTCAATAATCCCCACAGGCCTGGGCCCATAGCAGGCATTCAATAAATATATACTAATTTAAATCATGAGAATTTCAAATGATTAAATGATGAAATCTATGGTGGAGGGTTTGGAATCATGATATCCTGTACTTCACAACCTGTTCCTGCTTTTGTTAACGGAGCAAGGAAGATAGATTGTTTAACCTTGTTTGTCTTTTCCCAGGAAAGCCAGGAAAAGAGGCAACAATTTGAGAGCTCAAGAGCCAAAGTTCTGGTTTGTCCTTCCTGCCTCTCTATACAATAGAACTTAACTTTCCTTTAAATGTTCATGTGCATAAAACATTAGTTCCAAACTAGATTTTTAAACCCTGAGGGCAAGGATCCATGTCTACTACCTCCTTAGTATTCCAAAAGAGCCTAAAACTCTACACTGGACATAAAGCAAGCACTGAATACATACATACTGCAAACTGATCTTCTATATGCCTATCTTCCCAAAATATAAATGCTGCTCACCTCTCCCCTCATTTTTATAGAAATATGGGGAAGTTAGAAGGTAGTCTGTCTCCTTCACTCTTCTCACCCCGTTCTGTTTTAAAACTTCTCAATCCTGTTATGATACACATGGATCCTAGCTCCAGTGAGTCTCCATTTCCAAGCATCCTTTGCATGTACTTCTTCCTATAACAAGTCCTTTTAACAGATGTCCTTCTCCCTATCACTCTACTTTGACCTTCTACCCATTGCTGGTCTTAATGACACATTCCACACCAATTAACAAAGTGTTTTACAGTGCGCTTGTGAGGAGGACTATAAAATAGTAAGACCGGTCTCTTTCCACATGAAAATTCAAGGACAAAATTGTAAAGCAAAATAAGTGAATAAATAATAAGCAAATAAATAAAATACAAAATCACACTGGCGATAAATTAAAATATGAACATATTATAGCAGCTAATGATGGAATACAAGCCAAACATAAGCCAAAAATGCATTACGAAAGTAGTCAGCCTGTGAAGAGACGAAGATCTAGAATTAAATATCAATGTGAATGGAGTAAAAGGAATATATTCTGGCTGGAACTGACTGAACTAGCAAGAAGTAAAAATATTCTGTGCCAGTGGCTAACAAAGGCCAAGTCTGAGAAAATGAAATAAAAATTTCAACTAGGAAACTTCCTCAAGTGTTTACTGAGCAGCTATATACTACACCAGATTCTTGCAGACATTAGGAAGACAGCAATGAGCAAAACAAAATCCCAAGTTAATAAAGTAATTCAGATGGTGATAAGACTATAAAACCCTTACCTAATAAGCATAAAGTATGCATGCCACTTTCTCTGTTCTTCTTCACTTTGTCGAAGAAGCTTTCTGGCCGCCAAGTGTCTGTCCAAAAAACAATAGAAACTGTCTCTCCGAACTTATACAACTAGAAAAAATAAAAACATTATTTAGTGATTACTAATTATTATTTCATAGAGATAAGAAGAGAATTTAATCCCTTTCAACCGAAATAAAAAGTGAGAACCAGACTTGACAAGGGTTGAAGATCAAATCTGCCATGGAAAAGGTGATAAAAGTTCTCTCTGCTCCATGCAGATAGTGGCTATGTGATGCTCCTTTCATTTGGAAGCTGCTATTTCAGCCTGCAGTACAGAAATATACAAAACCAGCTCACGACCCCAGAAGTAGGTTGAAAAAAAAGAAAAAAGACTTCTGAGTTGTCAGAGCAGGTTTTACAAAGTTAATGTTATTGTTCTCATTTATTTTACAGACAAGACCAGCAAAGCTCAGAAAGATCAGATATGCCTAAGGTCCCATAGGTATTGATGATGAGTCCAACTTATAGTGACCTCAGGAGAGCATAGAACTGCCCTATATGGTTTCCTAGGCTGTGGTCTTTATGGAAGGTTGACAAGTCTGTTCTGCAGAGCAGCCTGGTGAGTTCAAACCATTGACCTCTGGTTAGCAGCCAAGTGCTTAATGGTTGCACCACCAGGGCTCCTTAGTCACAGAGCTAGTTAGTAACAAAAAAGAAACTAATACCTAGCTCTGAGGGAGTGCTTCTTTACAATATGCCATCTCAGTAAAATATACTGTACACTCATTCCAGCCATTTCTCAAAGTCCTTAATTTATTAATTAAAGTCCTTTAATTTATTAAGATTCTATTTGTTCTCTCACTAGAGAGCCCATTCAATGATAAGGGCCTTTTTCCAAACTTTCTTCACTCCCCAAGAACCACAGAAAATAGTTAAGAGTTACAGACCAATCCTGGACTGTGAAATAGAGATGTGGGTTTTATTCTTAATCCTGCCAATACTTCTGCTCTCTACTGGTTGTGTGACACTGGGAAAGTTTCTTAACCTCTATGTGCCTCAATTTCTGCATCTGTAAATTGGGGATAATAAAAGTTGTTAAAGGTCGTTATAAAGATTGCATGAGTTAATACATGTAAATGCTTAAAATAGCACCTAGCACATAATGAGCACTATATACATGTTTGCTGTGATTGTTAGTGTTCTATGGGAGGCATATTCATCCAAAAGATACAAATCATTGCCATCCATTATATGGTAGGCACAGGTATATAGTTCCAAGGAAAACAGAGCTCTGGCCATCATGGAATATGCAGTCTTGCTTTCATGTAGCAGGCAATGGCTCTGGAGTCAAGGTCCTGGTTCCTACTAGTTGGGTGACCATGGACAAGTCATATAACCTTCTTGACCCTCAGGAGGAATCCCCGTGCAAAATGGGGATAAGAACTATAAACATAATAATGTAGATTTGAAGGATTAGATGACATAAAATGTTGTAGAGTGCCTGGTGGGGCCCTGCACATTGTAATGGCTCAATTAATATCAGGGATTTGATGATGTAATAATAATGTTTATAGTGATGTTATGAAAATATTCGAAAATGATGTGTCCTGCTATAATCCAGCTGTTTTCCTTATTGAAGTGAACTCAAAAACATTACCAAATATTTGAAACTATTTGAACTACACTTATAATTTAATTCTGACAAGTTCAACTGTTTACATTCTAAAAAAGGATTTTAGGCATCTCTGATTACATTTTGAAATATGAATATTATTCCATGAAAAACTTCAAGGGAAAACTATTAAAGAAAATTACATATGTAATTATATATAAGTACTTTAAATGAATCTTAAATGTTTTCAGAGTCATGGAACTATAGCTATGGAAGTAAATAACCAAGTTCTTTATTCAAAAAGAAAGGGCTAGACCATTTAAAATAGAATTGAGATGCCAGTCACATATAAACACTGACTGAAGCATTCTGTATAGAAGCTTCTTTGAAATGTCTTATTTGGAGTTTAAAGAAAACCTCACACAAGTAATGCTTTCTAGGACCCTGATTTATAAACTGTAACCATTCCTGTGGCTGTAATACAAACTTCTTCAAAGAATCCTAAAACATTATGCAAACAATTTCACCATTTAGATGTCAGTACCTCAAAGAACAGAAGGACCAGTCCCTTGTGTTTCACAATCCAAGGTCCTACCAGTAAGCTATAAAAAGAAACTGGAACAGTATGGTACACTGACAAGAATTGAGATTGTGGAAGTCTAACTATTGTACTGTCTTATAATGTAAGCCTTTGAACAGTGATTTCATAATGTTCAACCAAAGATTCCTGATAAAATCTTAAAGACTAAAGAAACAAAACAGCTGCTTTGTAGGAAACAGTAGGTAATTGCAGGTCCTTTTTCTCCCCAAAAACCTGGAGCAACTTACAGAGAACTCAGGAATACAGTTTTCTTAATTTTATGTTTTATCTACTGAAGACAAACACATGAAAACTCAACTCAGTGATCCATTCATTATGTATAAGGCACTATCTAGTTGGAGTAAAAAGGAACTCTGGTAATCCAGTAGTTAAAGCATTTGGCTGCTAACCAAAAGGTCAGTGCTTCAAACCCACCAGCTGCTCTGCAGAAGAAAGATAAGGGAGTCTGCTTTCACAAAGATGTACAACCTTGGAAACTCTATGGGCGTCACCATGAGTCAGAATTGACTAGATAGCAGTGAATTTTTTTTTTTCCCCCTGAGTTGGAATGAAAAGATGTACATGAAAGATGAATAATATCAGCTAGTAAATAATAATGACCAACTGGAATATACAGACTATAAATACTATAAAAGTCCAGCATTTCCCTCACTCACAAGCACCCCAAGATGGCTTCTGATGAGATAGATTATCAGCTGGACCTTAATGGATGGATAAGATTTAGACTGGGGAGGTTGAGCTTGGGGGAGGAATGAGATGGTATGAACATAGTAAGAGCTGGGGAAGTTGAGCTTGGGGGAGGAATGAGATGGTATGAACATAGTAGAGCTGGGGAAGTTGAGCTTGGGGAAAGAATGAGATGCTACCAACATAGTAAGAGAGGTGGGAAGTCTTGGGCATGTTTAAATGGCATTAAGCAATTCTCTAGAAATAGAAATATACTTGACTTGCTAGTAAATGTATCTCTAATTGCTGACATCTTGTTAGGTGCTGTTGAGTTGGTTCTGACTCATAGTGACCCTGTGTACAACATAATAAAACACTGCCCAGTGTTGCACCATCTTCACAATCATTGCTTTGCTTGAACCCATAGCTGCAGCCACTGTGTCAATCCATCTTGTTGAGGATCTTCCCCTTTTTTTTGCTGACCTTGCACTTTACCAAGCATGCTATCTCTCTCCAGGGACTGGTCCCTCCTGACAACATGACCAAAGTATGTGAAGTGAAGCTTGGCCATTCTTGCTTTTAAGGAGCATTCTGGCTGAACTTCCTCCAAGACAAATTTGTTCATTCTTCTGGCAGTCCATGGTATTTTCAATATTCTTTGCAAATACCACAATTCAAATATATCAATTCTTCTTTGGTCTACCTTCTTCATCATCCAGCTTTCACATGCATATGAGGCTACTTGAAAAGACCATGGCTTGGGTCAGGTGCACCTTAGTCTTCAAAGTGACATCTTTGCTCTTTAACACTTTAAAGAGATCTTTGGCAACAGATTTTGCCCAGTGCAATCCTGACATCTTAACGAGCCAATTCCTATGAATTCCAGTTCTGTAATTTAATCTAGAAACTGACTACTCTTTTCCCACCAATTCAGTTAAAATCTTCAACATCACTTGTCTGAACTACCTTAGCAGTGATCTAACTCATTTCTCTGCCACCAATATTTCCTCCCTTGAATCCATCCTCAAAATTCTAGCCATAATAACCTTCCAAAAGTGCATCCTTCAGTGTCTCAACATAAGTATCAATTTTCACTTACAAAAATGTGTAATGTGTACAGGGAAATGTCAAAAAATACAAGAGCCCATCTTAAAGACCTTCCCATGGTCAAGGCTTGAAAAATTATAGCAATAAAATTATAACAGTGTTGAATTATAAGGAGCTCTGGTGGTGTAGTGGGTAAGGCATTTGGCTGCTAACCAGAAGGTCAGCAGTTCAAACCCATGAACTACTCCATGGGAGGAAGATGAGGCAATCTACTTCCATAAAGATTTACAGCCTTGGAAACCCAATAGGGGTCACTATGAGTCAGAACTGACTCTAATGGCAATGGGTTCTTGGTTTTTGGTTGAATTATAACCCAAAAACTAAAACCCATGAGTCCATACTCATAAATAAACAACTGAATTAATAAACAAACAAATAAATAGGGAGACAAGTCTTCTTTACAGAATAATTACAAATAATACATGTACATACCTACTCTTCTATGTGGTAGAGTTTAATTCTCCTCCCCTTGAGTGTGGGCTGGGTTTAGTGACTTTACATTCTCTACTGATTATGGAAAGGGAAAAATACTAGATTTACAGTGGAGAAATACGGCAGACATCACCTTGACCAAATGAACAAGGTAAAAAAGATGTATCAACACAATATACTCTGTAATATGATGCAATGAAGAGAGAACACTAAATCTGTGGTAATCTACCCCAAAACCCATAACTCCAGTCTAATCAGGAGAAAACATAAGACAAACCAAAACTGAAGAGCATCTGACAAAACATATGACCAGTGCTCCTTAAAACTATTAAGGTCATGAAAAACAAAGAAAGACAGAAAGTGTCACAGACTAGAGGAAACTGAGGAGATAGTAGTGTACAATCTACTGAAATGAGAGTGAAGTGTGTACTGTATAGTATTGTTTGTTGCTGTTGTTAGTTGTTCAGTTAGATTCAATTCATAGCAATCTTCAGCAGAGCAACACTATCCAGTCCTGAACCACCTTCATGGCTGTGGCTATGGTGAAGTCCACTGTTGTGGTTACTGTGTCAATCCATCTCACTGAGAGTTTCCCTCATTTCTGCTGACCTTCTGCTTTACCAAACACGATGTTTACTAGTGAGTGGTCTTTCCTGATGACATGCACAAAGTACGCAGGCCAAAACCTCA